AGTAGCTTCTCCTCTACAGGGCCTACTGCCACAAAATGTCATATCTATGGATGGAAACATATCTACGCTACAGAAATCTGTCGCAATGACCCAGGATTTGGTCGCTCAGCAGAGTAGTTTGATGACTGAGCAGCAACAACAGCAAACTATCATCCAACAGCAACAACACCTTCAACAGATATTGCCATCAACAATTCAGCCACAGCAGCAGCAACAAACCATCCAGCCCCAGCAGCAACCGCAACAACAGCAGCAGCAACAAACAGCCTATCAACTGCCAGGTCAACAAACGTTTCAACTGACAAACCTAGGCCAGCTAATGCAGCCCAACTACCAGAACTTAGTAGCGCCATCTGCCACATTGTTCAATGGCGTTTTTTGTACTCCAGATCTGAGCAGGACTCAGCAGGTTTTTTCCAATTGTTTCCAATTCTTCCTGTCCATTTTAATTTTCATTTATTTATTTGTTTTTTCAATCTGATGCTTAAGAAATTTTCCATCTCGTCGATCATTCAAATGTTATTCATTATTCTCTACAGATCGATGCGTCGGCAATGGGCTGCCAGCAGTTTATAACAGCAGCTGGAGCGGGGGCTCAGTTTGCAGCTGCGGCCGGGGCGGGCACTCAATTTGCCGCTTCGACTGGTGGCCACCATCAGCTGCTACCACAGATGCAGCTGGTGCAGACGGGGCCCAATCAGTTTGTTCAGCAGCAGTGTATACAGCCGCATCCACAACATATTATGTTTCAATCACTTCCAGGTTTGTTTTTATCTCTCTCTATCTCTCTTGCTTTCTCTCTTTCTCTTTCTTTTATTTGTCTTTCTTTTTTGTTAATTATTAGTTTGGATATTTTTAATTTAGATTAGTTGATGGATATTTCCATTTTTCTAATTGAATAACCATGAAAGTTTTTATAAGAAATTGTAGCCACATTCTATTTATCACTGCCAACGACAGCCACGCTTCAAACCAATGGAGGGATAACCATTCAGCAACAGCAGCAACAACAGCAACCAACTCAACAACAATCTAATGTTGCAACGTTTCAACAACAACAACAACAAAATGACAACATGACTAAGACTCAAGCAATACTTCCTGCAACATCTCAGCAACAGTCTCAGCAACAGTCGCAGCAGACAATAAATTTGCAGCATCAGCAAAACATCTCATTCAGGTTCGCAGTTTCTGGGGCTTATGCCATCCAGCAGCAACAAACTATAAACAACAACAACAACAACAATACGAAAACCTTAGCAACAGTCCTTCCACAACAAACAAACATTAATGTTATCAATAACAGCAACAACAGCAACATCGTTAACAACAACAACAACAACGTTATATCATTCAATCAAAAACCGTTGCTTCAAAAACCACTTCAACAACAGCAGCAGCAACATCAGCAGCTTCAGCAGCAGCAACAACAACCACTGTTACTATCATCAATTGGAATGCTTACAAATCAGAACATTCAACAACAACAGCAACAACAACAACAAACTCAACAGCAACAAACCATATTTCAGCAGCAGCAGCAACAACAAAGACCGATTAATTTAGCAACCCTAAACCAAGCGGCACAGTTTACAATAGGTAACAATGGCACGCTCCGATTTGCATCAGCTCCAGCTGGCTTCATTACAAATACTGGCCAGTTAATGGGGACCACCAATCAGGCCGTCCTTAATCTCGGATCTATACAGGTTTGTCTGCCTCTGTCTGTCTGTCTGTCTGTCTATCTGTCTGTCTGTCTCTCCGTTGGATGTGCGTGCACCTTATGTGGCAATGAGTTTTTCGACCATGCAGTCATAAATACATACACAGAGGAGACATACGTACACTCACATCTACACACAAACACACACACACACACACACACACACACACACACATTCACACACACATACACACACACATTCACACACATTCACACACATACACACACACACACACACAGGTTCCTATTTTGAACCAACCCTTGTTGGTAGCCCCGCAGGGTGGGGGCACAACAACCCTCCTTGGTTCGCAGCCCCTCTACATAAGAACGGCTGATGCATTTGCAACTCAGCAGCAGCAACAGCAACAACAACAGCAACAAAATGTTCTTGGTACCATGCAACAACTGCAACCGATGCAACAGATTAAAAGTAAGTTGGTTTTAAGTGTATTTTTGGTCTTTTGTCATGTAGTTTTTTTTTTAATAATTTTGTTATGACGTTTCATTTGATTACCCAGACATCGCCAACATCGCCCCGCAAACGGCCGTTGTGAACCAGGTCACGCCCCAGCCGAGAAAGGGCTCAGACAAGTCGTCGGCCAGTCACTCTGGCTCCAAATCTGGCCACAAATCTGGATCGAGTAAATTGCAGAACATTGCAAAATCCATTTCAACCTCTTCAGCAGCTAATGCGGCTAATTCAGCTGCCACAACCAATCCGTCAACCAATGGGAATGCGAAACCGCCTCCTGCTGTTATTGTGGTGCAGCCGAAGCAGCAGAAGCAACTGAAGCCTCTTGCAACAGCAACATCATCATCATCATTGTCATCGTCGTCGTCATCATCGTTATCAGCAATGCCATCATCTTCAACATCATCATCATCATCATCAACTCCTACTGCTCTCAACTTATCTTCATCTCAAAGCGCTGAGTATCAGCAGCAGCAACAGCCTCTGTGTCTCGTCAACAACATCAACAACAACAACATTAGCAATGCCGTCACTCAGAACAGCATTGTGAAAACCGATGACAGTAACATTTATCCTGTCACCAAGCAAGAAGATGTCAAGCTTAATAGCTTTAACAGTAGCAACAACAATAACAACTGCAACAACATCTGCAACATGAGCATCATCAACAACAACAACAACAACACCAGCGTCAACAACAAAATGATTTTTGGTTCTCCGAAAGACAGCGATGATGACAACAAACTCATCATAGCTGAAGACCTATCATTCCATCATCAGTCTCCAACGACATCAACAGAGTCCTCACTACCACTACCACCACCACCACCACCACCAACAACAGCAGCAGCAACAGTAGTAGCAGCAGCAGCTGCAACTATGCCATCAACGACGACAAACACATCCCAACAGATGATGACAAACGCGGCGAAATGTGTTGTTGAAAAGAAAAAAGTCAGGAAGAAAAGAGTAACGAAGCCGAAAGTTTTGACCCACATTATCGAGGGATTCATAATTCAGGAGGCTACGGAACCTTTTCCGGTTTGTTGCTGTTGTTTTTGTTGTTGTAATGTTGTTGTTTGGTGGTAGTAATCCATTTGATTGATTGATAGTTAGTAATGTTCAAGCGATTGCTTTTCTTGGCGACGTTCGTATGTTCTAATGCCTCGTTAATGTTTTTAACGTTATTGATGCTGTTCCTACTTGCTGTTGATGTCGTCATACTGCATCATTAGCGTAGCAACAACGTCACATTAACAACTACGTCAACAACAACATCAACAACAACAACATCAACAACAACATCAACAACAACAACATGACAACAGGTTAACAAAACGAATCTAGTCGATAAGTACCTCTCTCCACACCTCAACAAGTCAACGACGTCAACATTTTCAAACAACAACAACAACAACAAGATGGATGAATCGAGCACGGAGGATGAAGAAACGATGATGGATGGAAGAAATATCGGCGCTGCTGCTGATGATGATGGAGGTGATGATGATGATCTTACTGAAGATGAGGGGGGTCCATTTGCAAAGAAACTAAGTTAGTTTTTGTTGTGTGTGTGTGTTTCTGTGTGTGTCTGTGTGTGTAGGTGGGTGCGTGTTTGATTTTGTGTGTGTGTGTGTTTGCGTATACGCGTGTTTTTATAAATAAAATTAAATTGAACTCTTTAGGATTGTCAGATACAGCGTTGAAAGACGACGTCAACAACAACAACAACAACAGCAGTAACAACGGTGCTTCTAACAACGATTCATCGGCAAATAAAAAGGAATTGAATGAGATGCTGAGCAACAACAATGCCCTCAACACCAACAACATTAACAACAACAACATCAGCAACATTATCGCTGGCTGTAGCACTCAACAGTTCCAGCTTCCTTCCTCCTTAGGTTCCAGTGGCACGCATTCAGCTGCACTACACATTGATCAGAAACAACAACATCTTTACCACTCTCTACAACAACAACAGCTACAACAACAACAGCTGATCCAGACAAACAACAACAACGTTTTCACTATCGCACCAATGAAGAATAAAGGTATATATTTTTGTTTGTACAAACCCACACACACACACACACACACACATTACAAACATATATACACGTATACGTACATACAAACAAACAAACAGACAAACAAGCAAACGACATACACATAGTTTAATACACATACATACTTACATTCAGTCATTTGGTAAATTAATCCATAAAATCTATAAGAAAAAGTTTTTTAAAAATATTTTTCTTTAAAATTTCAGACGCCTCTCCCGCCATGACGATCGTCTGCGAGTTTTGTGGGAAGATGGATGTGGCAGCGAACTTCCCATCATCGAAGAGGTTCTGTTCTGTCTCATGTTCAAAGAGGTACAGTGCCTACAGCCAGAGGTTCAAGCAAGTTGCCGAAAGTTCAATGAATGCTTCCAATTCCGGCGACAGCAACAAACAGATTAGCATGATGTCAGTTGTAAAGGGCCCAAAGAGACCCCTCATGAAGAACACGCAGCAGACGGCCGTCGTTAACACCGCAACTGTCGTCGCTTCTGTGCACATCGCGCCGTCGCTAGCGTCATCGTCGTGCCAGCAACAACTGAGCAACGTTTTGCCTCAGCAGCAACAGCAGTCAAACAGCAGCAATTCGTACGTTAATTCAGTGCAGGCTTCAACTTTGAACTCCACCAAACAACAGCAGCAGCAGCAGCAGTTGCAGCAGCAGCAGCAACAACAACAACATACTCCAGTGAAGCAGCATCAAAATGATGACCTAGCAGGTGTCAACCTGCCAGACAAACCACTTTCACAGTGGTCAGTTGCCGACGTTTCTGCTTTTGTTGGCTCGCTGCCAGGCTGTTCAGCCTACGCCCAGGAGTTTCTGCAGCAAGAAATTGACGGGTCGGCCCTGGGCCTCCTTAAGGAGGACCACCTGATGACCACCCTCAACGTTAAGCTGGGCCCTGCATTGAAAATTTGCGCCGTTGTTAACATGCTCAAGACTGAATGATAATTGGTTGGGTTGCAGTTACATTTACAATGATTGAAGTAACATTCACGAGGATTGAAGTTACATTTACAATGATTGAAGTTACATTCACGAGGATTGAAGTTACATTTGAAATGATTGAAGTTACATTTGAAATGATTGCAATTTGTTATGGCATGCTGTCTTTTTCTCATGTTATTTTGCCATCAGTGACTTCTTAAATGTGTCTGTGAAACATACTTATCCTTCCCATATTTATTTCTTGCATGTGTGTGCATATATGTGTCTGTGTATGTGTGTGTGTGAAATTGTGAAAGGTAACTGAACAGACAGACAGACAGACAAATGGATGGATGGAGATAGTTGTTAGAAACATTTTATAACTATCTCAAATTTTTCTTGGTATTTATTTTTTTTTTCTTAAAAAATGATTAAAAATCAACGATATTTTAAAATTTAATTTCACTATCGGGCTTGTTTTATTTTTTTTTTTATTATGAAAAAAGTTGTCAATTGTTGTTGCTGTTGTTGTTGCTGCTGTTGTTGTTGTTTGCAAAGGAACTGTAGATTTTTTTAAATTTATTCTGTTTTATTTGAGTTGCTATTATTATTATTGTTTATTATTATCATCATCATCATTACCATACACTATCTCTCTCTCTCTTTCTCTCTCTCTCGCTCTCTCTCTCTCTCTCTCTCATTTATATACATATATATATATTTTACTTATATTTATAAATTGTGTGTACATATGTACATATGCTTAACCTATTCTCAATATGGTGTGTAGATTTATTCATATAATCGTCTGTTTATGAACATTTTCAATGAATTTTACGTACTTTTCGTTCTTGTATATTTCAAAAATAAAATTCGATTTGGAGATGTCATTTTTCGGGGGTTGATCAGTGAACTTCCTATATCTAATTATTTAGCGCTTCATAATTTATCTGATCTATGCGTTTAACCGTCGCTCCATTTTTAGTTGATTTAAAAGCAGCGATATTTTTCATCTTAAATTAGTGATATAACTACTCCGTTTTTTAGAAATGGATAAAAAACATACACAGTTTAGCACTAAAAATAGTTTTCCGGACGTTCCGGAAGAAAAACAAGTTTCACGTAGTTCGGCATCGTCAGCTAGCAATGTCAAAGTTGCAAAAAAATTACCTAGCAATAGATCTGGAAAAAGTTTTTCTGTGGGATTCAGAAACTCCTTAGTTAGGCCAGCCTCGCGATTCAGCATCAGTTATCATCATTTTTTTTTTGGCCTGCTTGTAACAAAATAAATTAATAAAAATTCAAACACAAATTCAAATCATGATTTAATTATTATTTGAATTTTAAATTAAGTAAGTTTTAAATTTAAACTTTCAAGACTTAAGTGTTAGGTGATAAGCATAAGTAAGAAGAATAAAATATTAATTTAAATAATAAATTTGTCAGTTAGCATTTTTAAATTAAGTTTGTACTGCTACTAATGTTTATTTTCTATTAAATCACAACTTTGTAGTTAAAAAGAGTGAAGATTTTGCAGTCGTGAATGACAGTTTACCAGAAAATAAAGTTGAAGTTGAGTCGGTTAAGATGTCTGAAACATTTCACAATGAAGTAGAGGATGGTGAGGAAGAAGGTGAAGAAGGTGAAGAAGGTGAAGAAGATGAATACAATGAAGGCAAGGATGATGAGAGGGATTACTCTGAAAAGAATTTACTGGAACTTGAAGTAGCTGTTGAGTTGCTGGATGATGAAAATTTATCATCGTTGGGTGCTGGTAAACAGCACCATGAAGAGGAAGATGTTGATGAAGATGGCGATGAAGATGAGGGAACTAATGATGTTGTTGCTGTGGCCCTGGGCGAGAAACAAGTTACTGAAGAAGTTGAGTTGGAACATCTAGTTAGGAAATTTCATTTTTCACAAGCAGGTTATATGCAAAGCATGACAAATTGTCATATACATAAAACCACAAATACATTTTGATCATGTGTGCTAAGAACTTATCTCACAAAATGATGAACCGATGATATTAGCAATCATAAAACATTAAATGTTAATAATATTATAAACAATAAATTATGATTAAAAAAAATTAAAAAGGACTTGAAAGATGAGACAACAATAAAATCAGAGAGGAAAGCCTCCTTTGACAAAGTGCCCAGTGGTTCATGTGTCTCTGAAATATTAGATGATGAAGAAGCTGATGAGGGTGAGGAGGTAGAAGATGAGGATGGTGTTACTACTGACAATGTTAAGAGAATTGCATGCCTTAAAAGTAATTCAGATGAGTTCATTTCCCCTTCACTGTCATCATCATTACAGTTAAACTGACCGAACTGTTGAACAGGGGATGAAATGAAGAACTTGAAAAGGTCGTTGTTCAATCAAGGAGTAGAAGAGGAATACAACCAATGGCTTGCAACACTTCCTTCTTGGGAATTCATCGATCTAGAATGCGTAGCACCTGACGTCATAGCAGGCATGCTGGAGAATAAATACGAACAACAGGACCACATCGGGACTGCCACGGATTCTACGACGAATTTGATAGGGGATGGTGTGCGGCTGCCCTCCCAGAAAAGTGGACAACTGGGTGAAGAAGATGCCGATGAAGATGAGAAACTATCTGTCTCTGATATAAATAAAAGTGTGTTTTTGCACTTTTTGTTAATCTCGCATGCATGTGTGTGTGTGTGTGTTTGTTTGTTTGTTTTTAAGTATGAATTTTAATTCTTCAAATTCGTATTGATAGTGCGTACGAGATCTTCAACAATGGCATCAGTAGCTGAACAAGAGAGCTGTGCAGAAGAAACGCCTACAACGTCCTCTGCCATTAAGCCAAAAACTGCTCGTCGTATACAATTGGAGAATGAATACTTTGTATGTTTGTATATCCATTTGTGTGTATGTTTATATGTTTGTTTGTATGCTTGTTTGTTGTACGTGTGTATGTGTACGTCTGTGTTTATTGTGTGAATGTATAATATCACATTCATCAACAACAACAATATCATCAGCAACATCACAACAGTCACAATCATCGTCTGCAACATTCTCCATCATTTAGGATGCTTTAGATAGGCTGGAGTACGTCCGAAACAACAACTTCCGGGTTCAATTGCAGATGGTTCAGTTTCTGTGCAAGAATGAGAAAGATTTCAATGAATACACAATTGCCAATGATACCAAACAGCAGAAGGATCTTTACGTCAAGTGGTTCAGTTAGTTCATTCATTCATTCATTCATTCATTCATTCATTCATTCATTCATTCATTCATTCATTCATTCACTCATTCATTCATTCATTCAATTCATTCACTCATTCATTCATTCATTCACTCATTCATTCATTCATTCACTCATTCATTCATTTATTCACTCATTTACTCATTCATTCATTCACTCATTCATTCATTCACTCATTCATTCATTAATTCATTCATTTATTCATTCATTCATTGATGGTATGACAACAGTACGACGCGCTAATGATAAAATATAATGACAGAGGGGTGAAAAAAACATAGACAGGTACATAAGGTTGAGGAGAAACTGGTCAGAGGTCGGCGACCTGGAGAGGGAGGAGCAGACAAAGTACGCAACCTTGAAGAAGGAGGTGGACGATATGATGAATTCGCTGATTGAAAGGAAAGTAACCGCACTGCTTGGCAAGAATAGAAATGAAAAGTCCGCCAAGTTTCAAGTTTGTTGAGATCGGTTGGTTGGTTGATTGGTTAGTTGGTTGATTGATTTACTGGATGGTTATTTGGTTAATTTTGAATGGCTGACTGACTTAACAAACCAACTGGCTGACCGATTGATTTGTTAGTTAAGAAATTGGTTGATTGATTGATTGATTGATTGGTTGTTTGTTTGATTGAACGGTTGATTGACAGCTTGTTTCCAGATTAGAGGATGCGGAGAGGAAGAAATGGGCGGAAGAGAATGAGTTGCAGACAAACAATTACATCATCAAGGTGCAACTGGAGAAACTGAACCAACAGCTAAGAGAAAGAGTATGTATTTGTATCCGCATGTAACTACGTGTGTGTGTGTACGTGTGTGTGTGTGTGTATCTGTGTAGTATCATCACCAAGGAAATAATTGGAGGAAACTTCACAATCATGGGCTACAACCAACTGAAGCACGAGAACACGACTGCGAGAGAAAACATACTGCAGAAATACGAGGTTTGTATTCTATGGTATTTTGTATTGCACGTTATAGTATGGTACTTTGTGTTGCGTAGAACAGAACCGCGGTAAGTGCATTTGCGTATCGACTAAATGAACATTTGGATATTTTACAATTATTTTCACGTTTCAATAAGCGTAGCAGTGTGAGTCAGTCTTGAAGAATACGAAGATAAGTGCCCAGAAGATGTCGCACATCAAGGAGAAGTTGAACTTTGTGAGGAGCCAGCACAAGACCCGCATGGAGGATCTGTCGGTTAAGGAGAGGAGATGCGATGAGGTCGCCCTCTTCTTTTGTTCCGCCTATTTCCACTCATTCATCTATTCGCTCGCACGTACATGAATATTCAAAACTACTAAATAATAATTAGTAATAATAAAATAACAAATGAATAATAATAACCGCCAAACAGCTTTATGAAAAGCTAAAAGTAGCGAAACAGGCACGGGTGAAAGCCCGACAGATCCTGGCCAGCCTCCAGTCAAAAAATGACCTCTTAAGCTATCCCGAACTCCTCATGGATTACGAATCCGGACTGGATAAAACTTTGCAGCTGAAGAACAATATGACGTCATTATCTAACGAGTACATGGAGAAGTTGCAGAAACTGAAGTTACTGACTAGACGCGTCAACAAATTTCAGAAACTTAAAAGACAGTTCTGAATGATTGATTGATTGATTAATCAAATTTGATTTGCTTGATTGGTTAGTCGATTGACTGACCAGTTGATGATTGACTGGTCAGTTAGTTAGAAGTCTATATGACTAGCCGTGTGAACAACAACCAATTGAAATCTCTTTATTCTTTATAAATTTACGTTCATAGTTAACAGATAATATAGAAAGAGTTTGATCCTTCGTACAAGAATATTGATTAATATCGCAACAGTTTCTAATACGATCTTTGTATCATACACCATACAAAAGTCTATTTACAGACATGCTCACGTATTTGTGTAGGTTAAAAAGTTTTTTTACACATACTCATCAATGGCACCTCTACGCCAAATTGATTACAATCAAAATCGCCATAGCATCACCATACAATAAAACGAAATAATTATATGATAACATAATTATTATTATAATTATTATTAATTATTATTTCTTTTTGTCTTCCTTGCATACGATGACGTACCGCTGAGCTACATGCAATGGGGGGGAATAGCCATCAGGGTAGGACGTGTCCTCGAATAGGACTGAGTAATTGTCTGACGACTGTCGCAATAATTATAGTTATAATTATAATCGTCATAATTAACCATAAATAATTAATTATATATTGATAATTGTTGTTTATGACAAAAATGGTTGTGATTGACGGTAACTGAAAGGTAACATTGTCTGGTAACTTCAAATTTAAGAAATGTTTCTAAGATAATAATTATATTCGATGATGATAATAATTATAATTGAGAATAATTATTATAATAATTAGCAATAAATATATTCATAATAAAAAAATGAGCTTTATACTTTTCTAGGTGGCTCGTGAATGAGAGCTCTGTAGAAGCACGTGGTCTGTGGATACAACGCCAACACCAGCTATAATTAAATAATTAATAATTAATTAATATTATAGTTAAATTTAAATACAGGTAGTAAATTTATTAGTACAATAGACGTGTAATGATATATACAAGGTGAACCTCTTAAAACTACTAAATCCTACAGACCGTATCTTTAGTAAATAACGCTCCTGGGTCTGTCTCTGGATTGGCCTTCCATACAGGAAGTGGTACAACACGTCTCCTGCCCAGTGAATGGCGTCTGGTGACAAAAACAAGTTGGACATTTTATTAAAGAGTTTTTTTTTAATTCAAACCCAGCAACATTTAGCCAGTAGATTCACTAAAAAAAGCTAGCAAGAGGTTTGTAAAGTCATGTAAATCAAGAAGAGCCGAGACTTACTCCTTCCCCTCCTCTGCATCAATGTCATCAACGTCGTATTTCGATGTCAAACTGTTGTATGACACAATCTCTGCCAGAATCCAATTCTCTTCATCATCCTGACCTTTGACCCTAGCCGCTACCTTGTCACCAGGTTTACCGACGTAATTGTTGTCAGCTGGTATGGCACCACAAAGAGAAGGCGGCCTTTTATTACGGATCACCAGTTAGTTTAGCGTTTAAAATTGTGCTATATCATTTATATAATTGAAATCTTGCTATAATACAAATAAATAATTTAACTACTTTGAATTAATATTACACTAAACCATAGAGAAGTTTTAAACGGAACCTACTTTTCTCCGAGTTTACCAGACCAAAGAGGTAGAGAATGTGCATCCTGTTGCAAACCACTCATAAGTACACCCCTCCTAACAATGTGTCTTTTTTGTGTGCTGCTGCTATTGCTGCTGCTACTGTTGTTGTTGCTGCTACTACTGCTGCTGCTGTTTGCTGTTACTATGCCAGAGTTGTCAACATTTGAAGATAGGCAGGTGTTGTTTGTCAGGTTGCAATTACTACAGCCATCCATCTCTGGAGGAAATTAAAAAGTGGTAAAAATGAACTTAATGATTTTTATGTTGTTTATGTGTGTACACTGTACATAGTAATGTATGTGTGTGTTTTTGTCTGTTTATGTTTACGTTCATACCTAATTTTTTCCAGGCTTTGATCTCTTTGACTTTCTCTGCTGATTTCAACAGTATACTAGAATGTAGAAAACAACAAATTAATTAAAATAAACTTCATTATTTATAAAAATAAGTAGATAAAATGCAATAAATAAAATACATAAAAAGGAAATGTATGTATACATGTATATTCGTGTACAAAGTAACGTGTACAAAGTAATGTATACATTTAATGTGTACAAGTCATCATATATAATGATGTTATAATGATATTTATTTCATTCAGATATGGGCATATGTTCTTCGTGCCCATTATTTCTTTATGTTTATGTAAGTTTGTGTACATGTATGTATGTAAACATGTATGTATATAAAAATGTATGTATGTGTACATGTATTTATATTTATGTTTCTATAACTGGATGTAAATGTATATATGTATGTATTATAAATGCATGCATTACTTTTTCAGTATGTCTGTATCTTGAGCGCCTGATGTGCATAAGGCCCTCAATTTCGCTCTGTAGTATGGTGTTACTGGTGAATGAAATAATTATTAAATTATAAATAAATAATATTATTAATAATAATAATTGATAATTATAGTCATCGTAATTAAAAAAATAATTACTATGTGAAATTCCTCTGGACTCTTGACTGACTCTGTCGTGAATCTTTTGTATGCTGACCATCGTCTGATCTGATCTCTCTTTCTCTGACTGTTTGTTTGGTGTATGGGGGAATGAATGAACGAATGAAAACAAGGAATGAACTAATAAATGAATGAATGAACGAATAAATGAATAAGACTTATTCATTTATTCAATAAGTTAATTATTTTATATTAAAAAAATAAGACTAATCAAAATTAAAGTAATGAAATGTCAAATAAAAAATTACCAAAAATTCCCTTAAAGATGCCTGCAATTCCCTCCACATTTCCTTCTTTCTCTGTTCAGATGGCATTGGCTGATGGTGACAGAGACCAATGTTACTAACGCTTACGTGGACCCCACTAGTATCACTGCTGTTGTTGTTACTGGATCTTGATTCTTTTATTGTGCTACCCCCACTTGTTTTCAAACGACCCATATTGAAAATTTTTGAGTCGATTACTCTTCTACAAATTGATGGTAAATTTTGTGAGTTTGACTAATTAATAATTTAATAATTAATAAATAAAATAATCGGCAGGCAAGTCGTCCAAAGCAGAGCCTTTTTTTTTAAAAAATAGAATAAACCGTAATATAACGAAATATGAGCAAAAATGATAAAACACATCAACGGCTCTTCAAAAGTTTTTTCGAATTTTCTAAAAACTTACGGTTAATTAGAAAAAAGAATTTACAAACACCTTGAGACTTGTAAATTGCATAGACAAAATATTATTATAATCAAGCCAAAGATATTCAACTTTATACTTGAATTTACTTTTAAAGCTAAAAGTAAATTTTAATCAACATTCATGACACGAAGCAAAGTTGTTTTAAAAATCATCAAATTAGCGATCGTGACATTGCGAATTTAATTTATTTACTAAATTTATCACATATTTATTTTAATTTTATTTAAATTTCAACACTTGATCCAAAAAAATTTTAAATTAAAAAAATTAAACAAGATGGAACAGCTGACTATTCAAAATCCTTCAATGGATTTGATTGACAAGTTGTCAACGCATATTTATGGGGCTGTCGTATTTTCAGACGATAATTTTGCCGAAATTTTGCACTGGCACGGCGGGGCCTCGCTTCTCCTCAACTTTGGTGCCCTGGATATTAGAGTATTTTCATCTTTTGAGGTATAAAATCTAAGTCTTGCATTTAAATTTAAAAGAATTTAATTTTTAATAAGATAAAAACCAGCCATCAAATTGATGAAATTAATTATATTTTGAATAAAGGGTGGGCAGATCTCAAAGAAATCTGTGTTCTTCATCTCGAGACCACTGATAGACAACACTCTTGAGACCTTGCATGACGTCATTAACAACAGCTATTTTGAAAGTGTTACCATCATCACTAACATTCATCCAGCTATGCAAACTCTTGTTAGGTTTAAGCCTCCAACTGATGAAAATGTACTTGAAACATTAGTTAACTTAGAAAGAAAAATTAATTCCTGGATTGCAGTGAAAATAAATGTAAATTATTTTTATTTTCATTGTTTTTTAATTCTTGATTTTTATTATTTATCTTTTTTTCTATTTAAATATTTCAATTATTTGTTTTTCATGCTGCCAAAATTAGCTCTATTTGTTAGTGTCACTAATTCTGAACTATTTTTAGAAAACAGGAATGTGCAAGTTGTTATATGTTCCTCTAGTCGCATCACAAATAATTCCCAACCTTTTCACATTTCCTTGCCATTATAACTTTTTCCCTCTCCTGCCAACCGATGTCAATCGATTGCAAGTCAGACATAAGGTTGAGACCTTGTTTGGTTTGTTCAATCGTATGTGTCAGTGTTTTGGTTAAATAATTCATTGATGGATATTTATTTTGTTCGTTCGTTCATTCATTCAATTATTCATTTATTCGTTCGTTCATTCATTTATTTCAATGAAGCTTGGCAGTAGCAAACATTCGCCAATCGACTTTGAACATTTACCAAAGAATCTACAACTCAAGTACAAAGTATAGTAAATAATTTAATAACAATAGTAATAATAATTATAATATTTACAACAAAATCAATAATAATAATTATTATTATTGTTTTTTACAGCTCCTGGTATCTTCTCTGCATACATTTTCAGAGCTGTTAAGCATTACAGAGCAAAATATATTTTCTATGGGTTGTTGTTATTATTATTATTATTATTATTATTACTTTTGTTGTTGATGATGATGATGATGATGATGATGATGACTAATGAAGGTGCAAGCAGTCGTATCATTGGGCAGGAGCTGGCCAGTCTCAATTGGCGTAAAACATCGAAGCATGTAAGTGCTGATGATGATTGTGATGATTGTGATAATGATGATTGTGATAATGATGATTGTGATAATGATGATTGTGATAATGATGATTGTGATAATGATGATTGTGATAATGATGATGTTTGTGATGATGATGATGATGATTGTGATGATGATGATTGTGATGATGATGAACCCTAACCCAATCAACCAACCAACAAACCAACCATTCATTCAGTCAGTCAGTCAGTCAATCAGCCATCCAACCAACCAACCAACCAACCAATCAATCAACCAATCAGTCAGTCAATCAGCCGTCCAACCAACCAATAAAAAATTATTTGCAGTCTTCGTCATCGTCGCTTAGAAAATCATCTCTGGTCTTGATCGATCGCACGCTGGACACCTCGAATGCCATCCAGCACCAGTTCGACTGCACGCTCGAGAAAATTCTCTGGGGCCTGCCAAAGCTTGGCACATCCCTATTTTCCGGCGGCGATGATGATAATGATGCTGTCGATGGTGGTGATGATGATGATGATTTTGAGAGGGATGACGTCACTGGCAGATCTCTAGATGTCCAGGTCGATATGTCGCCTGTCTGTTCCGTGGTTCAGTGAGTGAGGGGGGTGAGGGTGGTGGGGTTGAGGGTTATGAGGATGAAAGTGATGATTATGATAACCACCACCACCACCATCTTCATCATAATCATTATCATCATCGCCAGTAACCCAGGTAATGTATGCATAGCTCCGGGACACATATGCCATGCGGATGACCCTAGATCGAGTGCACTTATTAGTGCATTTGCACTCCTCAAACAAAAGGTTTTTTTTCTTTATCATTATCATCATCACAAACATCATCATCATCGTCACGATCATATTCATCATCGTCACAATCATCATCGTCACGATCATCATCATCGTCATCGTCACCAGGAAGTTCTGGCAGAACTGAACAGGCGATTGTTAGAAGCAGTTGGTAAAGAAAACCTTGATTATGATCCCGGTTGTAGTAGTAGCAGTGGCAGTAGTAGTAGCAGTGGCAGTAAGCTAAATGCTCTTGACATCATTGAAAGGCTTGTCGCATCATTTAAGTAAGATTAATTATTTAATTATTAATTGTAATAATCATTATAATAATTATTATAATATTAATTGTAATAATAATAATAATAATAATAATAAAAATAATAATAGATACAGCAGCAGCAGTATTAGGAAGTATTCTTATCTCCTCCAACTTTCGCTGGCTCTCACTCAGTCTATCAAGAGTAAAAAGTTGAAGCGCTGCTCCCGGCTTCAAATGCACGAGAAATCCATACTGCAGTGTTTTGATGGCGACGACGACGAGGAGGGTGGTAGTGGTGGTGGCCGTTGTGGTAGCGTTTTTATGAAAGTCGTTGATCAGTATTGTAAAGATTGCGAAGATGATGATGATGATGGTGGTGATGATGGTTGTGGAAGGTAAGTAGAGAGAGTTTAATCATTTATTGTGAGTCATCATTCTTAATGTCATCATCATCATCATCTTCTTCTTTGCGATCATCATCATCATCTCAATCATCATCATCTTCTTCGCGATCATTATCATCATCTTCGCGATCATCATCACCATCACTTTTATTAGCTGGAAAGTTGACGGGTTGTTGTCGTTGTTATTGTTCGCCTACTCTTGTGATGCCAGAGGTAGGCTGAGTCTGTCTTCGAAACAAGAGACGCAGTTGGAGGTGAGGAAGACCACGACGATGACGATAATAATAATAATTATAATAATAATAATAATAATTATACGAATAATAATTATAATAATAATAATAATGATAATGATGATGACAATTTTTAGGTTAAGCTGACGAGATTCATAATGAGGTTCCGATCTAGAAGTTCCATAGCAGGAAGGCTATGTGGGCTTATAATTTTTTAAATTATAACTATAATAATCGTTGTAATTATGGAGTGAACGAATGAATGAATGAACGAACGGATGAAAAAAAAATGGATTGATAAGTTAATGAATGAACGAATGAATGAATGGATGAATGAATGAGTGGATGAATGAACGAATGAATGAATTCATTTAGTTTTGAGATGCCGTTCAGAAGCCGAGTGCCTATCCGTAGTGCAAGATATCTTGGATAAAATGAAGTCCTTGTCGAGCGTTAAAAGTCACCTAAAAAAATATAAGTTTGTTGAGTGATTGGTTGATGGAATAATTAATTTGAATGAATGAATGAATAAATGAACAAATGAATGATTGAATGAATGAATGAATGATTGGTAATCTTCACCAACATCAACAACATCATCAGCTCTACTATAGATCCAGGCAGTTTTTCCACTCCTCCCAGCCATCAGCCAATAGTAAAACAGATCATGCAAGATATCCTTGACCCGAACTTACACGACCTTCCGGATTTGACCTTTCACCCTTTGACATCTCACGGCGGTGGGGGTGGTATGTTCGGGGAGGATTTGATTAAAAGTGGATTCGGGTCAGTAGAGGTGTAGATGATACATTAATATTAACATTTGATTTTATTTTCGACATTTTATTTTTTTATTATTTATTTATTATTTTTATTATTCATTTATTTTTAGATTTTTCCGCGGCCAATCAAAACCACGACCTCTCGACAGCCCGCTCGTCATCATCTTCATCATCGGCGGGGTCACCGTTTCTGAGTTCAAGATCGTTAAGGAGGTCATGTTGAGGTCGAAGGTTAAAAATCAGGTCACGAATTATTATTATTATTATTATTATTATTGCTATTATTTATTGCCGTTCTTGTTCTCTTTATTGACATGAAATTGTTATAATTATTTCGAAGTAAAATGTAATTAGACTCGCGCTCCTGATACATTTGTGTCTTTATCATTATTATTATTATTATTGTTATCATTATTATTATTATTATTATTATTATTATTATTATTATTATTATTATTATTGTTATTATTATTGCAGGTTCTAGTCGGAGGGACGAACCTCGTTAACCCCGATGATGTGTTGAGAATGACCCTGGCCCAAGATAATCTACTAATCGACCAATAATATTCATCGAAATATATAATAATTCATAATAATTAATTATAATTATAATGTTTAATAATAGAAATAATTACGTACAATCAAACATACATACAAACAAACAAACATACATACATACATAAACATGCATATGAAAATATTCCATTAGCTTTTAAGAATTCATTATTAAGATGATAATTTCAATATAATTGTTTATGTAGCTTATTGATTAACAGTGCAAATAGGTGTACAAAAGTATTCATCTCTGTATGCATGTATGTATGTGTGTGTGTATGTATGTATGTATGTATGTATGTATGTATGTATGTATGTATGTATGTATGTATGTATGTATGTATGTATGTGTGTATGTATGTTTAAATGTGCTCACATGCGTTATTATTAGTATTTATAATATTAGTAAAAAGCATTGAAAGTTGTCCGAAGTTGGTTTTCATCTTCATATTAAACAGCAAATGACGACGACGACGATGGTGATGATTGTTGTTGCTGCTGCTGATGATGATGATGATGTTGTTGTTGCTGCTGCTGATGATGATGTTGTTGTTGATGATGTTGTTGTAGATGATGATGTTGTTTTTGCTGCTGCTGATGATGATGTTGTTGATGATGTTGTTTTGTTGCTGCTGCTGATGATGATGTTGTTGATGATGATGTTGTTGATGATGATGTTGTTGTAGATGATGATGTTGTTGTTGCTGCTGCTGATGATGATGTTGTTGATGTTGTTGTAGATGATGATGATGATGTTGTTGTTGTTGTTGATGACGATGGTGATGATGTTGCTGTTGATGAAAAATATAAATGATATGTAACCGATATTGTTCATGATGCAACAAAAGCAACAACAGCAACAATGAATATCATAACGAACGATGAATGATCATGAAAGTGACAAAGATGATGACAACGTTGTTTTTGTTTGTTCAGACAATCGTATGTTTACAATGTGTGACTCATTTGATGTTGTAGTTGTTGTTGCTGCTACTGCTGATGTTGTTGATGTTGTTGTCGCTGACCCCGCCAATGGCAAGGTCAAACTTTTGTTACTGTCACCGTCACTTATGATATCTTCAAATTTGTTTATGCTGTTACTGATGTTGACGTTGTTGTTGTTGTTGTTGCTGCTGTTGTTGTTGTTGAGGTTGTTGATGTTGATGTCGTCGTCTTTTATGTTATTTATGTTGATGTTGTTGTTGTTGTTGAGGTTGAAGTTGTTGTTGAAGTTATTTATGCTGATGTTACTGTCGTCGTTGATGTTGTTTATGTTGATGTCGTTGTTTATGTTGCGGTTGTTGTTGATGTTGTTGTTGATGTTGTTGTTGTCATTTTGTGTTTTCGTGATGTAAGCGATGATGTCATTGCAACTCTTGAAGCTATAACGA